AGATTTACATCATGAGATTTGTATTTTGATTGAAACTCGAGTTAAAAGTAATAAAACTGTAGTTATTAGAGATAAGCTTCACCTTAAAGGTGAATACTTGGATAATTATTTTGAACATGCTAATGGCAGATTGTGGATCAATTGAGACAATACCAAATTTGACATTAGAAGTGTTCATAAAACTAGTCAGTCCATTCATTGTGGGGTCTATGACTTTAGGGGCTGTTTCAAATTCTGGCTAACTGTTGTTTATGCATATAATCGCGTGGATGACAGAAAACGGTTGTGGAAGATTATAGAGAACATCCATAGATCCGTGCAGGGCCCTTGGTGTTTGTTTGGAGATTATAACAATATGGCTACTGCACAAGACAAAGTTGGAGGCAATCTTGTTACTGAGAATGAATATGTGGATTTCCAAGATATGTTGAATCTTACCGGGCTAAGTGAAATGGATATTATTGGTGATTATTTCACTTAGTCTAATAAACATTGCTCGGGGACTATCTATTCTCGCATTGATATGTTGTTGGCCAATGTGGACTGGTTTCATCATTTCAGTACAATGACTTTGCACATTCCCCCCCCTGGTGTTTCAGATCATGCCTTGCTGCTGCTAACTGATAATAAGCCTAAGAAACCTATTGGGAACTTCAAGTTTAATAATTATTTCGCTGAGATCGAGGGTTTTGAGGAGGTTGTTAAGATAAAATGGAGCAAGCCTATGAGATGCACCCCTATGCAAATCTTGTGGCATAAACTGCATAGACTTAAGCCTGTCTTAAAGAGATTGAACTGCCACACCAATGATATTAGGAAGAATATTGTCAAAACTAGGCAAGACCTCCTTTCAGCTCAAAATGATCTTCAGCTTAATAGATTTGACAGTAAAAAATTGAGGAGATTAAAAGACTGAGTGAGGAAGTTGTTCATTGGAATCAGATGGAGGAGAAGCTGATGATGCAGAAAACAAAAATAAACTGGTTAAAGTTGGGGGACGGAAATAATGCATTTTTCCATGCCTACCTAAAAACCAAGCACAACAATAGAAACATGATATTCCTTCAAAAAGATGATAGTACCATTCTATCCAACCAAAAAGATATTATGCAGAAGGTTAAATATTTTTATGCTAAGATTATGGGGGCTCAAACTTAGGCCTTGATTCATGTTGACATTGATGCCATGAGAAAGGGGAAGCAGGTTAGCATGAACCAGAGGAAGTTTTTGAATAGTAAAGTAACTGTTACTGAAATTGATAAAGCTTTGCAGGGTATTGGTGATCTAAAAGCCCATGGTGCAGATGGCTTGGTGCTAAGTTTTTTAAAGCTTGTTAGCACATTATTCAGGTTGATGTCATTGCAGCTGTGATGGAATTATTTGAAAAGAACATAATCTTTATCACATTCAATAAAACAGTTGTTACCTTGATTCCCAAACATGACCAAGCTAAAGGTGTGAAGGATTATAGACCTATTGCAGGTTGCACTACTTTCTACAAAATTATATCTAGAATCCTAGCTGCCAGATTGGGTGTAGTTCTCCAGAGGACATTGAGTCTTAGCCAAGTTGCCTTTGCTCCTGGTCAAAGTATTCATAGCCACCTTATTCTAGCCTATGATATGGTTGACTGGAGGGCTCTTGAAGTAATTTTGAATGAGATTGGTATGCAAACTGAGTTTATAACTTGGATTATGATTGCTGTCAAAATAGTTACCTATGAGTTCAATGTGAATGGTGAGCTAACTGAATCTATGCAGGCTTGTAGAGGGGTTATACAAGGGGATCCCCTATCCCCTTTTCTTTTTATTGTGGTTATGGATTACATGAACAGACCGTTGACTAAAATGTAGAAGAACCCTAAATTCAAATTCCATGCTAAATGTGACAAGATTGACCTCATAAACCTCAACTTTGCAGATGATGTCCTTCTATTCTGCATAGGGGATACCAACTCTGTGGGCTTACTAATGGAGAATATTCACATCTTTTCTGCATCTACAAGTTTGGTTATCAATCCCAACAAGTGTAAACATTTTTTGGGGGTATTGAGAATGATCTAAAACTGGAGCTGTAGGGGCTTACCAGTTTTGAAGAGGGTTTACTGCCTGTTAAATATCTAGGAGGTCCACTTACTGGTAAGAAGCTCCCCATCACCCATTACTTACCCCTGATTGATAGAATTATCTGCAGGATAAGACATTGGTCCTCTAGGCTGCTGAGCTATGCAGGGAGGATTCAACTTGTTAAGAGTATCTCTTTTGCCATAACCCAGTTTTGGTTACAATGCCTGCCTCTACCAAAGTTTGTGATAAACAAGATTGATGCATTGTGTAGAACTTTCATTTGGAATGGTACTCACGAGATTAGTAGGAAGAGTCATGTGGCTTGGAAGAAAGTTTGTAGCCCTAGGAATCAAGGAGGTCTGAATGTGATTAATCTGTCTATCTGGAATAAGATTACCATGCTTAAGTGCCTTTGGAACTTATGTCGCAAATAT